TTGGCATTTCTTGTAGGCAGCTATCTTAAACAGGATGTGATGTGGCAGTTGGTAGTTGACCCACACTGCTTACTTTGAATCACAGTTTGTCTTTAAGTTTCCACTTTATCTTTTGTTCCAATAAATGCAAACTTGCTCAAACAGGTTTGTAGTGTCCCACACTGAAGTGTCTACAGAGTAAAGCAAGCCATTGCATTTAATCAAAAAACTCCCAAGAAGAGGGATGCAGGCATGTGGTAGGCATGTGGTAGGCCTAATCAAGGCCTACATTTGAAATGAACAGGCCTTCAGTGGATCAACAGCTTTCAAAGGATTCTGCAATTCATCCAATTTGTGAGTAACCATGGGGGAATTTATTTTCAAGTGCTGCTGTTGAGAATTTTGGCTTTGACCAAAGATATGAGCATGATGCAAGAAGCTAATGCTAATGTACATATTGTGGCCTGTTGATCCTATGGCTATCTGGACACTTGACTGTATTTGTTTGTGTCAAGCATGGCTGATGAAGATGAAAATGTTGAACAAAGCATTGCCTCGCTCAGTTCTCTACGTAGTGCAAATCTTGCTGTGTGCACATGAAGGATGAATGAAATGGAAGCATTGCTTGTTGATGGTGGTGATGTAGAATCAATAAATAAATAAAAGTGTGGAAGCATTTTATATGGCACTTGGAGAATTTAAGACTGCTCATAAGTTGCAGGAACAACTACCTGATGAAATTCAGGGAAAATTAGCGTATTGACTGGTTTGAGCCTAAAATGGCAACATCTGAGAAATGTATGAGTGAATGGTAGATGTGGAAAAAGGTACAAAAGGATCCACAAACACTTATTGAGCCAAACAATAGTGCTTCGAATGTGTCCATAAAAGTCACAAGTCTCGCAGTTTTCACAGTTCATCAGTATCATCAATGAGGATAAAACAAAAAACGAGAATAGTAGGGACAGACTTTAGTATCTGGAACAATTCACTTCTGGCCAGTCAAAGGAGCTTGCGAAGGGTAGGAATAGATGGATAGGAAGGGTTATGCTGAAGCTAAGAAGCTCCTGAAACTTCATTTTGGTGATGAAGTGAAGATCAACAGTGCTTAAACAGAGAACGCTCTGAGCTGGAGTAATATCAGGGCTGATGATAGAACTAAACTTTTGTTTAGCTTTAATTGGTAATTTTAGAAAGGTCCAGTTGAACAGGATTAGCTGGACTGATGTGTGAAATAATTTCTCAGGTTTGATTAGAATTTAACACAGTGCTCAAATAAAAACATTGGCCTTTTTCACTGAAACCAAAAGTGGACGGTTGTTAACTCTGCCAAGCTCCAGCAAATACCATGAATAAAATATATCACGGCGAACTTAAACTCTCTTAAAAACATACAGTACTGTAGCTTTATGTAACGAGATTAAATTCATGATTATATAAAAGGGGAGGAATAAATATAAATGCTGAAAAAAAAAACTTTTTAAAATGGTCCGCTCACATACTTAATTCTCTTAATTTTAGTGCTAAATTAAATGTTATGTAAGGATTTCATACATCCTATACTATAAAATATTTCTTCTGTTTATGTGGATATAGAATATAGAGTGAAAGTAGGGCAAACTTCTTTAAAACCTAAGAGCAAGAAGCCAGTGAAACTGTTTTATGAGTGTTCAGCAAACCCATATTCAATTAATTATGAAAAGTAATATTTCATTTTTTTTTTCAAATTCTGAGTTCATTTTTGTATTAACATGTACAAAGTCTGAGACTAAAGAAAATGCTTCTGTTTGCCTTTTTTATTCTGATTGTCCAATAAATATTTACATTAAACATACATGAAAAATTTTCATGACATTTCTGTGCTTGACAGAAATTCTTGACACTATGCCTTTTGTTAAGTAAATATGATGGATGTTTTATTGAGCAGCACTGTCTCAGAGGCCTCTGCATCAAGCAGATTGTGTGGCAGAAGTCCTCTGCTTCAGGAGCTGCTCTTTGCGAGTGTTCTGGTAGGTGGTCATGCACTCCTTAAACTTCTGAACCTCAGTCTGACACTTCCTCCAGTCCTGCTGCTCAGCCATACAGTCCTGCAGAGCATAGTGCAGCTCAGCACAGCCTGTCCTGGAGATCATCCCATCCACTGGATCATCCTCATCCTCACTCCTGCTCCGGTTGTGAGGGGATGGAGGAGTCGATGTCATCCTTAGAATTTATAATTATAATTTGAAATGTGTTACAATACATAACGACGTTAGTATCTAAAAACAATACGAGTAAAAAGCTGTAAAAAAAACAAACCCCTCGTATGTATTCGATTTCCTTTCACGCTCGAGCCTGTGTAGCAAAACTCTTAAAGGTTTGATATATAAATAAACTTGCCTTTGCAGTTTAAGATTTCAAGAGCTTCGGGAAGGTTTCATAACTTGTCTAGTCGGGAACATTTCATATCACGAACAGGAAATGTGTAACATTTTTAAGAGTCCGAATCCATTGCCGTAAAGATGACAGTGAATGTAATTACACTTGTCCCTCACTAGATGGTGGTGTTGTATCAGACAATTGCAATAGGCGGAAGCGCTTATTTGCTAAAGCCACGACCTCTAGTGAATTCAGTCGAGATATTTTTCTACATTTTTCATATTTATGATTTATTATTGATTGTTGTCTTAAGTAGCATGTATTAGGTTGACTTTCTAAACAAATCAGCCAGCGAACAGTTTAAACATTGTGACTATTGATTTTCATACAGGGGGAAAGAAGTGTAAATAGGTGAATTAAGATATCACTGACAAAGTGAATAATTTGTCTGTCTTATTAAAGCAGTTCTGAGACACAAACAAATCAAGTCTAGTCTGTGTGAATGATTTCTGCTCTAATTAGCCCCAGGCTGCTCTCATTTCATGAGGGTTAGGTTTAATGACCTTAGAAGAGACTCAATGTAAACACAACAATCTTCATCCCCTGAGCAAGTTAAGTGATCTTCCCAAAGTCAAAAACACTTCATAATATTTTCAGAACTTACAGAAAAAATGGCCATGCTAAATTTGGTATTTATTTGTTCATTAACAAACATAATTTTCGTCAGCTGGGGATGAGCTCATCTCTTATGATGATTATGGAAATATTGAGAGATGGCTGCAGCAATGTATTGCGAGATTAAAATCAGATGAGAATATTAATGAGATGTTCCATCAAATGTATTAATTGTATCATCGTCTGCCACCTGGACTTTGCTTTGATAGAAGCTCCAGGTAGACAGCAAACTAACAACAGGCTTCAATATCAGTGAAAACCTTCAAATATATTTTGTTTATATCTGCTTTTGCCGCACGATTGCTGATGAAATTGGTTTGTTCAAGTGACATCCACATTCAACACACGTAATAGGCCAAAGTAATAATTCACAAAAACAGACCTAGACATATTTAATACATACATGCATACATAATGAGCAAAATGTGATGTATAAGGTATAAAAAAACAAACAAATAAAAATACCTAAATGTAGGAAAAAGAAAAGGGAGAAAAAAAGTGGCGTTTGAATAAGGCTCAATATTTGGAATGAAATAGATACTATATGCCACACAGCATGTACTGCAAAAGTAAGTGCGTGTTCCTTATTGTACATTAACGTTGCACTGTTATCAAAGAACATAGTTTCTATTAGCCATGATGCACAGGGAAAGTACTGTTCACTAGCTAGTTATAAGGCTTGCTACTGTGTCCAGATTTTCCTAACATAATAAATACATTGATTGTTTACAAATTTGCAAACATTTTAATTTCTGCAAGCACAATAAAAAAAAATCAATTCCAAAGTAGATGTTAAAGGGTTAGGTCATCTAAAAATGAATATTCTGAATATATGAATATTCATATGAATATTTACTCACCTTGTTCTAAACCCATACGGCTAAAGGCTTTCGAACTTCAACTGCAGTATAGGCAATATAAACTGCCCAAAAAACAAGACCATTGTCATGAATTTAATCTCACGAAGAACAAGAAGGTCCATAAAGGAAGTATGTGCTATATTCTAACGGTTTTGAAATCCTATAATACAGCTTTATGTGATGAGATTAAATTAATATTTGTACGTGTGCATAGGAAGGACGGGGGAAAGTAATCATTAGTAAAAAATTATACACTTACAGCTTTTTAAATGCTTAAGTCCTTTGCGTCAGGAACTGCGCTTTGGGAGTGAAACTTCTGAACCTTAGTCTGAAATAAGTGTGTGTGTGTGTGTGTGTGTGTGTGTGTACCTACTTAACAATATATTTTGGGGACAAATGTGTACCCAAAAGTGAGCTAAACCTGACAAAATCTCCAAAAAATGCAGAATGTTTTCTGTAAGGGGTAGGTTTAGGTGTAGGGCAATAGAATATACAGTTTGTGCAGTATAAAAACCATTATGCCTATGGAATGTATGTGTGCATGTATGTGTTAGTGGGAGAGAGAGACTGGATACAATTGCAATACATAATAATTAAGTGTCCAAATCCTAAATAATGTTTTTATTTTTTAATTATTATTATTTTTTTAAGAATGTCAATTGTGACTGTCAACTGTTTGGTTACCAACATTCTTCAAAATATTGTCTCTTGTATTCAACAGAGGAAAGAAACTAATATAGGTTTGGAACAAATAGAGGATGAATAAATGATGACAGAATTTTCATTTTTAGGTGAACTATCCCTTTAATTAGCTTTGATAACACATAATCAGGACTTCATTCATTTCAGTTTCCACTGTATAAGTGATTTGGACTGAAAGACCATTGTTTGGACTTAGAAATGTAAAATTTAGAAAAAAAAGCAGACATATTATTGGACACCTACTGTGTAGGATCCAGTGGACCTTAGAGGAGACACAATGCAAACACGACATTGTTCGTCCTCAGAGCGAGTTAATTGATCTTCCCAAACTCCAATTATACTCTCAGAACTTAAATGGGAATGAGAGGCCCCAATCATTAACAGGAAGAGGATCTGGAATTTAAGAGGTCAACTGAGGTCACCATAGATTTAGTTTTTATTTGTTCATTCACAGTGATCATTTTCATCAGATCAAGATGAGCTCATCTCCTATAGGCCTAACTGATTGATGCAGCGATGTATGGCGAGATTAAAATCAGATATGAATATTAATCAGATTTTGCACTAAATGTATCAAGTGCATCATCGTCTGCCACCTGGATTTTGCTTTGAAGCTCCAGTTAGACAGCAAACTGACAACAGCCTTCAGTATGTGAAAACTTTCAAATATCTTGTTGGGAAGCTGCTTTTGCCTCTTGTCAAGACAAACACATGCATTTCATAACAGACCAAAGTAATGATTTACAAAACCAAACAAAT